CAACCAAACTTGGTACACAGATGACTTACTCTCTGGAAACAAATACTGTGGGGGTAAGACACCCCTAACACCCCTCAGGTTGTGTATTCTGTTATGACACAGCCTGTTGTGCCTTCAAATGGATTCTACTATACCTCCATAAAATCGCTTCTACTGTACAGCGCAGCAGTCGCCATGGTAATGGCTTCACAGTACTCCACAAGGGGGCTCCCTCTGGTAAGGGGGGAAATCCAACATTAGAAATTACGTTTGGTCCTGACATTTCCTCCCTATAAATAAATACCCAGACAACGCCGGGTTATCAGCTAGTAGCCCCTAAAAACAGAACCAAGAAATGTATGCCCAAGAAATTTCTTCTCTTCTTAAAAAAGTAGCATTTGCCCAACCTGCCATCTGTGCTTCAGCTGCAAAGCTTCCATTCAAGGAGAGAGTCTACATTTAGAGGTCCATCACCCATGAATGGACAGTTTAAAACAACACTTATGAGGGCCCTTGGAAAAATTTTGAAAAGCCTAATGAAGTATCCCAGAACAGATTAAGGAGGTGGTCTCGGATCTTTCTTTTCTGTAGGCTTTGCACAGTCTGCCTCCTGCTCTAGCTAATAGCTTCTCCCTCTGATGGAGAAAGAAAACAACATAATTAAATGTATATAATTATGTGCCAAAGCGAACACTGAAGCTCCCATGCGTTTGATGCGTGTTCTGCTTTTTTTAAATCCCAGGGAGGAGAGAATGGAAGAGGGGCTATGGGAAGGCTGCTAAAGGAAAAAAGAGAGAAGATGCTTCGGGAAATGTTCATTTAACTACCCAAACACTAAATATAGGAACAAATATTCTGCTACAAGCTACGGAGACTTCCCTAGCTGAATGAGCCCTCTCTGCAATCCAAAATTTGGTCAATAATCCACCCTGCTATGGTCACCTTCCTTAATGCAAAGGAAAGCTCTGTTTCCACCCCTGCCTTTTAACCAGGGGTCACCGGGTAACTTTAAGACTTGTGGACTTCAACAACAATTCTGGGAGTTGAAATCCACAAGTCTTAAAGTTGCCAAGTTTGAAGATCTCTGCTTTTAACCATCATGCTCAATGGAAAAATAAAGAAAATCCAAAAAATATTTTGCAACATCCTTCTCATCCTTTAAAAAAACCCATAGTACTCACATTCCCCATAATTGACTGCATATTTGGAGGTGGGGGACAAAAGATCCCCAAGTTATTATCATGGTGGTCAAATGCAGGAGGCTTTATCTGAGGTACCAAGAGGCTTCCAAGAATGGTTCATGAATGCTCTTGACCTAGAGAGCCCTTATTGGCTTGGCCTTGGTTACCCGGATTGCTAAAGTTTCACCTGCATCAGATGAACCTAACCCATCCAGTAGTTCAGCTCAGTTAAAAGTTGTTGGGATCCAAAGGGAAGGAACAACAACAGCACATGTTCCTATGTTCTGGCAGTCTCCATCAAATGGTGGGTGCTCTCTCTAACAATGATCCAGAATCCCCTGAAGGTCAACTGTTTTCTCAGATTTAATTTAAAAAGAATGTAAATAATGCACCTTTATTAAATAAGGTTTCCTGTTTCAACTGAATCAATTTGGTCAACCACTAGAAGGTGCCAGAGAGTTACGCTGTGGTACCTCCCCCTTTCCCTCTAGTGATCACTTCACTTTTTGCAGCTCAGAACTTGTATTCCTATGAAGATAGCTAAGCATGTGAGAACCTATCTTGAAATACTACACCTTCATTAAAAATAACTAAATGAATCTTGGCTAAATTGGGTTAAACCAGGAACAATCCATTCAAACATACATGAATTTTGACATGGGAGCCTACTTCCACCTCACCTCATATATTTTTCCCTATGCATCATACCTTGATGAATCATTCTTAGGAGAAAATAATAACATTGCCAAGACATATAAGTAGCCTTCTTTTTCTACAGTAATTCCTTCAGAAATTCACTGCAGCTGGAAGAATGCAGGTGATAATCAATCTTGACTTATTCATCAAACTTTGCTGTAATGAAGAAGCCTTCCGTTTGTAAAAGCGAGCCAATTAATTTAGGATTGTTTTCTATTGTAAAAAATCTAATTTGAAACCATTTATCTAGGCAGTATCTATGCAGCTACTTGTCAGCTCCTGTAAATCTGAGAAGAGTTTGCAACCAATCATTTGCATGGGGTATTTAATCCATTTTAAATCGGCATGGAATTATGGAGCGCTTTTGATTAAGTAATAACAGGCACCGCAATGACAATAAATTGGCACTTAACACTTTTATTTCCTTCTTCTTACATCTCCTAAGGTTGCCAATGGATCAGGGCTGCTTGTCCTACCATCTCATATCCATTTGTGGTCGGGTAGAGGGCAATTACATCTACTGTGGGTTATCTTTTTTAATTTTTGCCACTCCACAGAGAGATGGCTATTATGTAAGCAGAAAAATGTCTAGATCAGGAGTCCCCAAACTTGGCAACTTTAAGCCTTGTGGGCTTCAACTCCCAGAATTCTCCAGCCAGCTCTGGAGTTGTCAAGTTGCCAAGTTTGAAGACCTCTAGTCTAGATCGTTCATACACATAAAACCTCCCAAATCAAGGCCAAGAAAAATGGGTTTGCAGCTTGCTTCTTCCTCGCCCATCTGCAAATACAGGCGTATACCTCTCTTTCTAAAGCTGCTGCCCCTTTCTTTCATCCTCTGTGCCTTTTTTTTAATCCAACCACCAGAACACCCTCTTCTAGGTGCCTGTTCTCAGAACAAAGCACCCTGTTCATCCACCCTCCATCAGAAGCACATCCGGGGTGGGGAGAAGAGTCACCCCTGAAACAGTCTTCCTTTGTATGGAAGTCTCCCTTGGGTTTTCTCTCTTCGCCTTGCCAATAGAAAGACAGATTGACAGATCCACAAAGCAAGACAGTGATCGGAGGACACAGAGCTGTAGAGGGGGCTTCCCGCCCCATAGAACACACTTTCCAAATCATATATCCATTGGCCATTGAAAATACGAGACACCATGTTGCAGAAGACACATCCGATGGGAGTGGGCACAAGAGGGTCAAATGCCCCAGACCACAACAAAGCTTCCCCTTCCTCACTTTGTTGGACCCATGTCCAAAACAGGAACCAATACAACAATCACAAACCTTTCTGGAGTCAACCAACTAGAGGGAATCGTTGCGTTGTTCACTTTCTCTCTTGCAGACCAACTTTCTCTCTTGCAGATCAAGCCCTGTCTCTTCTATCCAGATGCCAACCAGGCAGTTCCCACCTGCCAGGTCACCCTCAACTTTCATTGCAAGGAAGCCCCTCGTGGGGAAATGGGAGTGCCAATAGTGCCCCTCCCTGAACGACCTGATAACAAGCCCACCAGGAGCAGGTACAAACCACCTTCTCAAGAGTCCAAACAAATTTGCTTCGCATTTTCCCTGGCCAGATGTCCAAAGCAAGGGCTCTCTCGTTCATTCCTTCCTTCACTTCCCTCTTTTTGGTCGACGACCCCCTCCCCCCCCAACACCTGGGGGCCGCTGGAGCATTCCCACGCTCTTACTACTGATCTCTCTCTCCGTGGGGCATATAACCAGGCAGAGAAAGACAAGAGCTGCGGCGCAGCGGGGCATCGCATGGCTACGAGGCCGGGGCTCCTCTCGCTTCCCCTAGGGTGGCAAACCCACCAGGCCACTGGCATACCCCCGTGGGTCAGCCATTCGGCCACGCAGGGGATGCGCAAGAGCCCAGCGCCTCCCACCACCACCACCACCCCAGCTTCTCTGCCATCTCCGCTTTCCTTTCTTGGGCAAACAGCGCCCACCTTCGGCCGAAAAGGAACTTTCCAGGCGCAAAACCCCCGGCCGACATTCTAACCGGCCGCGCAAGGCGGGGGACGCGGGTTGGGTTGCCGCAGGAAGAAAACCCGCTGCGAGGAGACCACCGAAGCGCTAAGTGGCAGCGGCGGGGCGACGAACAGGGGCGGGGCGGGGAGACCCGTCCAGGGCTCCCTCCCGGAGGCAGAGGCGGAGCGCGGATGGTGCTTTGCGCAGCGGCGCTTACCTTCCTGCACGGCGTGAAAAGGGTTGTTGGCTTCGATCAGCTTGATGGTGTAAGTGATCTTCTCGCTCTGCAGGATGTCATCGTTCAGGCTGAGGTCGGCCACCGCCTGCTTAAAGATCTCGTCGTCCTTGGCCGCGTTGCCTTCGAAGATCGCACCTGTTTGGGGCGGAGTGGTGATCAAGGGAAAGAGTAAAGTCCTGATCACTATGAGCAACTTGTGATGGGGATCCACCTCCCCTCCTCCTTCGGATTTCCTTCCCTTCTCGGAAGTAGGCCCGGCTTTCACCTACTTTTCCTAAGTGGCCGATCCCCACTTATGCCCCTTTCCCCCCTAGAAATGATACTCGCTCAGTTGTTCTACCTTGAGACCTCCCATCAGGCTAAGATTTGACTTTCTGCAGTTACGATTTCTTAGGAACTTGTCAGCCCTGGCAGAGACTAAGGGGCCGTGTGAACCCCGGGCCTGAGTCGCTGATCACATACCGATCTAGGAATCTCCAACCAAGCTTGAGATCACCCTTGTTGGCAGCGTTTAATTTCCCCCCCTCTCGCCAACTCAACCTATCGGATAGATGTCTGTCAATACAGACCTTGAGTTGATTCAGCAACCAGGTTAAAAATACTGGGTGGCTTCGGGCAGCTTTTTGTGAGGCCAGACTATAGTAGATCCACTTCTTAAACTATGGTTAACAGAACCACGGGGACCAGATAAGGGTTGCAAAATCCGAACAGCCCACAGGATGGCAGCAAAGAGCTGCAGTAACTCCCAGCGTGGCTGCCGCCTAGCAATTATCCTGGGACTTACAGCTTTGGGCCAGGTTTCCAGGAGGTTGTGTTTTTTTTTTCGTGGAAGCTTGGGTTGGCATCTAACCTCGGGTCTCTCCTGAGGAATGGGGCACAGCAGAGATGGTCCCCTTGGTTGGGAAGAAAGGCGGAGAGATTATATCCCGCAGGACCCTCCTGATGTTTTGGATCCCATCTCCCACAATTCCCAGAAAGGGCCCCCAGGTGGGAGAAAGCAGAGCTGGGGAATGAAGCTGGCGGTGAATGAAAGCGATTCGAGCGGAGACCAGCGGCTCTTTGCGGGAACGGGGGGAGTGCAAAGAGCGCTTTTCTCAAAGTTTCCTGCTCGGGGAGAGGAAAGAGAGGAGGAGGAGGAGGGCGCGCGCCTGAAATTCAGAGCGATGCCCTCCGCATCCCCGCCCGGCCAACCGCAGCTACAGTCTGAACGCAGCTCCTGGGGTGCCTGCTTGAGCCTTTCTTCGGGGAGGGGTGGGAGAGAGAGGCACGATGCTTCCTCGGGGATCTTTCGGGGTCTCGCCCTCTGAGATCCCCGGGTTTTGAGGAACCACCTTTTTCCCCCTCTCCGGTTTTTATTTCTGAAATGACCACCCTCAACCTGACACGGTGGGCGAGATTCTCCCCCCCTCCTCGCTCTCCCTTCCAGCTTCTTCGGCCTCCGGGAGAAAGCAAGAGAGGCGTGGCGGAGTAAACCTACCCGGGACTCTATCCTTCCTCTGAACGGGACCCGTGCAAAACTCCACCTCACGGCGACCATTAGGTGGCAGCAAAAGCTTACAAGGCCCCGCGCCTCTCTGCTGCCCCGTACTGGACCGCCGGAGGGCTGCAGCCCAAGTCAAAAGACAAAGGCAAACGTTCCTCCTTGCTTCTCCTTCTCCCTCCCCGTTCTCCCGGCCCTTAAGGTTGGCCTCCGGTCCTACACTGGGAGCCGATTGCCCTGGAGGTTTCGTTGCCAGCCACCCTCGGAGTGGCGAATGTGGGGAATCCGCCCTAATCGCAAACTGCCCAAGGCTTCTGTCCCTCTGAAGCAAGCGGGAGCCTGACTGGGCTTTTCCTTGCGCGGAGCCATCAAGGGGAGGTTTTGAGCCACGCCGAGAGTCCGGAGCTGGGAGTTTTTCTACGGCTAACACCCACGCCTCCCACTTTCTGCTGATGCGGAGAGGAGTCTCCTGCGTGCCCCGCGGACGTCCGGTGCTCGGGCAGTCCGTTCCTTGGGGCGAAGCGCATCAATCTTGGGGCTTTATTTTAAATGTCAACAGTTCGCTTTGGACTCCCTTGGTCTTGGCGCCTCGCAATTCTCTCCAACGCTTCATTTAAGGACAAGGCGCCTTCCTTCGTCACAACAACCCTGCGAAGTAGGTGGGCTGAGAGGGAACGACCATCCAGCGCGCTTTCGTGGTCCAGGATGGGCTTGACGCCGCAATCCTCATCCGGCCACAGCATCCCCTTTATTTTCTGATGGATGCGGGATAATGAAACGCCTTTTTCCCGAGTGACACGGGGGTCTCAGCACAACCACCCTGGGAGGTAGGCTGGGCTGATTGGCCCAACGTCATCCCGGGCGCTCCTCTGACTGAGCCGAGCGCCCACCGGCCTCCCCCTCTCCTTCGGCCAGTCCTTGGGCGCCGGAAGTGGCGTTGGGGATCCCCCCCACGGCAGAGTCGAGCTCCCCCAGCCAACTCACGAACCTCCCCCTCCCACCTCAGCCCAGGCGGTGGGGAGGAGGTTCCGCTCCAAAGTTGAAGGAAGGCGGTGTGGCTGCGTCCTCTACCCCGGAAAGTGGAGAAGCCAGAGGAAGCAGCCACGCGCAAACAGGTCTTAAGGCGCCCGCGGGCTTTGCGGGAAGGGAAAGGAAGGGAAGAGACGCGACTGCAGCCGGCAGATGCGAGTGAGAGTCTCCAGAGGGATGGGGACCCTTCCGCGCTCCCGGCACACCTTTCAGTCCTCCCCAAACTTTGCCACAAGATCCATTGAGGGAGCTGTGATTTGCCGGTGGAGAGGGCAATCTCTCTCTCTCTCTTTTTACGCCCCCACTCCATTCTATCTTCGCCGCTTTGCACCCTAACTAGATCCGATTAATACTCCCCCCTCCCGCGTCAACCTTTCTTATTAATGGATCCTTCACTAGTCTGCCTCTCCGCGCACGCACGCACGCCAGCGAGGGCTCTTGGGCTTTTCTTTCTTTCCTTCCTTCCTTTTTTTTTTCTTTTCTTTCCTTTTTCTCTTACCGATGTGGATGATCGAGTCGGCTCGCACGGAAATACACTGAAAGATCCAAGGGAAAAGCCAGACCATCAGTACTTCCATTTCCAACCTCTGTCGAAGCACATCAGCCCGGATTTGGTCTGGGAAAAGCCAGAGAGATGGAAGGGAGGGAGACAGGGAGGGGGAGAGCGCGAGGAAGGAACGCAAGGTTGTGGTATTTTCCCAAAAAGAAAAAAAAATTCAAAAGGAATGTCAACCTCTCCCCTGGCCCTAAGGAATCTCCCAGCGCAGGAGCAGAGGAAAAAAGTGGGGAAGGAAGAAAATGGGGAGGGGGGAAAAAAGGAATCCGCCAAGAAGCGGCTGTAAACAAGGAGAGTAAGATTTGCTCTTCCGTGAAGTGGAAGGGGGCCAAATCAGGCTTGAGAAGACAGGAGCCAGTGGTTAAATCCCGGTTTGGCAGGAGACGACGGTGACCGGCGGTAAAGCCCTACGACTTCTTCTACGGCGGCGGCGGCGGCAGCAGCTCTGGAGCACTCGTGTGTCTCCGAGTGTGAGTGTGTGCGTGTGTCAGAGCGCGCGCCCGAGCGTATGTGCCGGTGCGCGCGCGCGCGCGTCTCCGGGCCCCGGCAAACTGCGGAGGCACCCCCCCCCATCCTCCTCCTCCTCTGCGCCCCCTTCCCTCCCTCCCGCGGACCACGTGATTGCAGAGCCTCACTACTCAATATAGTCTGGGCGCAAAAGCGACGGAGAGGAGAGGAAGGAACATCTCCCGTAGAGATCGGGGCGGGGAAGGGGGCGCTGGAGGGGGCTTGGAGAGGAGGAAGCAGCAGGAGCAGCCAGGAGAGAAGAGGAGAAGGCAGCTGGGCTGGGCAGGGCACGGAGAGCCCATCTCCCGGCTGGAAAGCCACGCAGGTGGCTGGATGCCAGCGCAGGAGCCCCCTGGCAATCCCCTTCCCCTACTCCCTCGCTCCACATCCCTCTCCGCCCTTTCCCCCCCCCCCGGGGGGGGGGGANAAAAAAAGATTTCATTCCAGTCTATCTCACAGCGATACAGTGGATGTACGTGCTGCTGCTTTGTAGGCCGGGGAGGGGGGGGAATCTAAGATTGGATCGTGATTATTGTATCTGTCAGGGTGTTGAGGTTTTAGCTGCTGCCCAAGGAGACTGAGGTCAAAAATCTATCCAATGTTCAGGAAAGAGCTAGCAGGAAGAAGTTAAATTCTCCAATAAACTACATTGTTTTCAAATGAATGTACAAGGAAGCCTCATTAAGGAAGAAGATCAGCTACTGAAGAATCTACCAATCCACTCACAACATTTAAATTTCAAATGATCTAAGCCACAGAGCTCACTGTAACAGCATTGCCAAAAAGGCATTAAGAGTTGAAAACCTAATTTTGCGAAGCTTTTTCTCCCGTAACATTGTACTGTTAACTAAGGCATACATAACCTTTGCCAGACCAATCCTTGAATACAGCTTGTCTGCCTAGAATCCACACTGAATATCGGATATTAATACAATTGAACGGGCCCAGAGGTATTTCAGGAGAAGAGTACTCCACTCCTCTGCTCACAATAGAATTCCTTATGCCACCAGGCTCGAAATTTTGGGCTTGGACAACCTGGAACTTTGCTGCCTACAGTCTGACGTAAGCACAGTATACAAAATTGTCTGCTACAACATCCTATCTGTCAACGACTACTTCAGCTTCAACCACAATAATACTTGGGCAAACAATAGAAACTCAAGGTAAACCAGTCCAAACTCGATTGCAGAAAATACTACTTCAGCAACAGTGTAGTCAATGCCTGGAATGCTCTACTTGACTCTGTTGTTACATCCTCAAACTCCCACAGCTTCAACCTGTCTATGTGGACCTCACCCCATTCCTAAGAAGTCCCGATATGTCATGTGACGATGCTGTGAGTATGCCAGTTTGACACCCCTGCTCCTAGCCATGACTGAAGACTGTGGAGTTCAGTCTGCATGTTTATACAGTCCCCAGATTGTGGGAGATGGTTTAAACACTGCCCAATTTCATGTCCTCCAACTTATCTAAAAGATTTGATTTGATTTGATTTGATTTATTTGGTTTGTATGCCACCCTATTCCCGGAAGACTCAGGGCAGCTAACAATAAAAAGGGGAGGGGGTACAAAATAAAAATAGAAAACAGCAATTTAAAATTCAACAACAGTCGTAACCTTGAATGGG